CATTAAAGATGATCTACTATAGGTTGCACTCCACCATAATTGCATGTGTGAACTGGCCAATATTCTCCCAATTCTTCCCACAAGGACTTGAACTGAGTGTAGTAAGCACTGACATTGGATGAACCTTGCGTGCAACTAAGAAGATTCTTCTTCAACTGAAACACACGAGGGACATTTTTCAGTTGGAACCGATCTTGGAGTTCCTTCCAAATCTCTGTCGCGTTTGCAACATAGATGACACTAGGATATATTTCTTTAGAGACAAAATTGAGAAACCAAGAAGAAACTGTGATATTGTTTCACATCCATGAGCGATACTGGGGAGAATTTTCTTCTGGTTTTGGAATGCTACCATCAATAAAACCAGTCTTGTTCTTGCCATCGAGAGACATCAACTTGGCACGTCGCCATGAGTTGAAATTTTTGCCGGTTAACAGTTATGAAACCAAAATAACCCCAGGATAATCTGAGGAATGAAGACAATATAGATCATCGTGATTCGCCATGGAAAGGCATGAGAAAACATGATGTGTAAGTAAGAGCAACGAAGAAGAAGAAGAAACAAAGGAAGAACGAAAGGAGCAAAAGCAATGAAAATAAGAGAATTACTTTTGATACCATATTATAGTATGTGAATGCATGCCATAGAATATGAAGGTGAAAGCTTTATTAATGCATTAACTAAATTACAAGGAGGTAGCTTACTTATATAGCAAGACAATGAAGTAGTAGAAGTAGTTACACCCTATAACTAACTTATGCTTAATTAGTTATTGAACAAACTATTCTGACTACCTATTACAATAATAGTTATATCATAATAGGATTGAAAGGAGAAGAAAATTGAAATTGCCATGACTGACTATAGAGAGCGCTCTCGCAACCAAAGTGTAAGGGTCACTACTACGAAAAACTCATATCACAACGGTTGGAAAAGGGATGCCATCACACAGGTCCAACCGTTGTGACGTAAGGTGTGATTGTGTGTATGATGATTTCGACCACGGGCGTGCGACCGTGATTGTATCCATTTAGTGCGCTACCAACTACAATGATTACTTTAAATAACCGTTGTGGTATATTAAAATGCAACATATTTAACAACGCTTGTTCTAGACAACCGTTGTTAAATATAGCATTGAGTTTATTATAAATTATGTGGAATGCTTATTTCGCTAATGCTCACTAAACATGTAACCTTCCAATCTGCAATAGAATATTATAATATGACAAATTAAGTTATATTAGAAGAATAAGTTCACGTTCAATGCTTGACAAGAGTTCTTCAAGTCCTTATCTGTATTTTTTTCTTTGACAGTAAGAACTTGGTTTAATGATCCTAGTTTTTCAACTGCCCATGTCTTCACCTCTAATTGTTATTGCAAAATATCATTTACTTTGCAAACAAAATTAGAGGTGGAGAGAGGGGTGGTTGAAGATCTACAATCACTAAACCAAGTTCTAACGGTCAAAGAACAACATGCAGTTAACAATATGAAGAATACTTGTCAAGAATTATATGTGTACTTATTTTCTAATGCAGTTTGGGAAGCTATATATTCGATAAGGGATTGAAAAAACACTCAAACCACATAATATATAATAAGCTCATCTTTTAAACATACATTAATAATAACATTTATCAACAACAAACAATAACTAACAAACACGATACAATAAACATATCAATACATAAAATGCTTCAGAAATACACCATACATGTCAAGTCCCATAATAGCGTGTCAATAATGAAATAAGGATGAAGATAAATTTAGACTAGCAAACTTGTGTATATTTTGAATGGATGTCATTCTGGATCTTTGACACAAGTTTGTCGGGCTAAATTTATCTTCGTCCTCTTTACTATAATAAGAATCCATATCTACAAGACGAAAAAGAAGAAAGTTCAAACATCATGAAACAAGCTATTGAAACTGATTAAAAAAAATCTATAGAGAAAACGAACCTGTAAATATCCATTGGCTAATATTTGTTGTTAAGGTATCCTTTTGAGGTTTTCATATGAGAGAGACGAGTGACAGAGTTGTTAGGGTTTTGTTTTGAGAGATAAGTGAAATAATTGTTAGGGTTTTGTTTTGAGAGAGACAGCTGTTATATACTGAAGTGATAGATAATTTCGCTTATATATAAATAAATATCATAGGATTCAAACCATTTCAGTATCCTTTCAGAAATTGCAGGTATATGTGCGATGTAATTACCCAAGGTCTGATCGATAGGACCTGATACCATATTAGAGTTTGGCCTAACACAATCCTACAAAACCGGTTGATAAAGTGAGAGGTGTCACTCTATATAAACTATTTCAATACTCTATCTCCAACCAATGTGAAACTCTAAGATCTTACTAATATATCTTCGCCATGATCTCATTCCCTTATGCAATGCTGCCTTAGAGGAGAACTACAATGCTGACAAGGTACAAGGTTCAAAACTACTACTAATGTTTATGAATAAACTATAATATGTTTATTCATTTACTCATCAACTAATATGATATTCTTTTTTATTATGATTAGGGTTCAAATTTTGTGTTTGCTGACGTTATAAAGACAACCTGGAGAGCTGCTGGGATGTATTACATCACTTTTCAAGCACAAGATCCTTCCAACAACAATGCTACAATTTTCCAGGCACAAGTACGATTAATGCTGGTTAGACCACCCAATGTATTCTCGTGCATGATTAAACCCTAACACACACCATGGCGTACTAATTTTACATTCATCTATATTACGAGGATTTTGTTCCTTGTTACATTTACTTGTGCAGTTTTTACACATTTTTCTTCTGGTATGATTCTCAGTTTTTTTGTATGATTAACTTCACATTTTTCAATTGATTTTTTCATAAATGAAAGTATGTTATGTTGTGGATGAGAACTCTCAACCTCCTTATCATTCCACTCTTTAACCTTCCCACCTCAAACATCAACCCAACCTTAAATTTCACTTTTATTTGATTTATTTGATATTTGTGACCGACAAGATCTATTTGTTATCTGAATTCCCATTCAATGATATATGGCTTAGTAGTGATTGTATCTCGAATTTCGGAATTTGGAATCAAATTTTTGCAATGCATCTATGAATCAGTGATGCATTCCATATGTTTTCCTTTTGCAGAAAATTATCTCCACTGCATCCACATGTAGTGAGTCTGGTTTTAGTTGTTAGAAACATGCAGTGAAAGCCCGTACACACTTCTGGGTGCAGTTAATTAAATTAAATATGGCATATTTGCTAGAATACTGTGTAGTTTAAACCTCACTTTCTAGTGTCATTTCCCACCATCTAATTGCACTTATGTTTGATATTTAATTGTATCTGTATAATCAGATGAGGTTATTGATATGAATATATCTAAGTCCTGAATCATTTTAAGTTTTAATTTTTTTTCACTTTCTTTTACATGATAATCACTTTCCTTCTTCATACTTTCGTCTTTATTTTAGGGTATTGCAAAATATGCAGCTCCGATACCATCAACAAAATTTCCACTCTTTCGAGAAAAATACTTGTAATTGGTATCAAGGCAAAGTTTATACTTGTTGATTTTTTTTTTGTAATGAGTTTTCAATTCGGTTGCAACTATTGATAGAAAAACCATATAGATGTGCATAGTAAAACATGGGATACGTTAGATGTGTGTGCGTCAGATAGGATACAAATACCGTTAAAGTTAGTTGTAGAGGCCAATGATTTTTCATTATTTAAATCATTACATTAATATAATTTATTTAATAATATTAGATATTCTATTTAGGATTAATATCTCTTTTATCCCTGTTATTTGGGCCATTTAAAAAAAAAACTTCATATAAAAGAAGAAAGACTTCTTATTGCACCTTATATATTTCTAACACACCGTGTGAGTTTTTACATATGTTTCTCTAAATTTCAGAGATATATCTCCGAACGCACTCTGTACACACGCAACCAAAACCATTTTTAAATACGCCCCCATACATTTGGGGTTAGTTTATTCAGGAGATATATCTCCATAACCGTTTAAGGAAAAAAATAATTGTTCAATTCAGTGGATATTTCGAAGATGCATCTCTGGAACTGTGGGCGGCAATTTGAACTTTCTCTCACCTTTGCATGTCAGGTATTTCCGAAGATGCATCTTCAGAAATATTTGATATAGCTTCCAGCTGCATGATCAGTCTCCCATTGTTACCATACTTCATTCTCAACATAAACCCTCACCCTAAAAACCATTCATTCTCAATCCATTTTTTCACTCTAAATCTCCACCATTTTGATTCAACATATCACAGGGAGCAAAAGAAGATAAAATTTCAAGTAAATATTATTCTTTTCCCTCTACATTGCTCACATTAATCATGAATCTTTCTGAAAAAACTTACACTATGTCCGGAGATATATCTCCGGAACGTGTATGAACTTGTCCGTTTATACATTTCTGGAATGTGTTTATGTTCATTTTCCAGCCCTTCTGCAGCAGTTGGTTAATTAATATTCTTAAATTTTTTTAATTGTTTCCAATAGATATGCTGCACCCAACGTTTTCCCAAAACAAGTAGTTTCTCCAACGATGTTGCTCTGAATGTTCAAGGAGTTGTTGCAAAGACGGTAGATGTTGACAACGACTTTAATAACAAGCAAGAGTTTGAAAATCGTGATAAAATTCTTGAATGGATTCACATGTAGGAATCTAGACTTGGATTTGGTATGGTAATCATAAGGTATGATAATGACTCGAATAAAAGATGTGCCTTTATGACAATGTTGTGCGAAAGAAGCGGGAGATATTGAACTCCTCTCTAGAATCTTAAAATAGACGACACGGGTAGTAGAAAATGTGAGTGTCCGTTTAAGGTTCGTGGTTGCGCAAACAAAAATTAAAGATTTAACGTGGTATATGGTTTGCATAACCATGATTTGTGTTTAAAATTAGTCGGTCATCCTAGTGTATGATGGCTCAAGCCAGAAGAGAAGAAATGTATTAGCGACATGACCTTAAATCTTGTTCAACCGAAAAATATACTTGTAATATTGAAACGGAAGCGACCCGACAATATAGAAAATAACAAGCAAGTGTATAACATCCGATACCTCACTAACAAGACGATTAAAGAGGATATAACTGAGATGCAACAACTCTTGAAACTCTTGAACGATAACAATTATGTGTCCCGGTATAAAATATGCAATAATGGAGTTACGCTTAGAGATATTATTTGGACTCATCCTGATTCAATAAAGTTGTTCAACACGTTTATGAAGGCACTCATACTTGATACAACCTACAAGATCAATAAGTATAGACTTCCATTATTTGAGATAATTGGTGTTACCTCAACTAACAAGACATATTCTGTTGGTTTTGCATTACTTGAGTGTGAAAAAGATGATAATTTTACTTGAGCATTAGAGGTGTGTCAGTCACTTTTGAAGGATCAAGGTGAGATGTCTAAAGCGATCATTATCGACCGCGATATCTCATTGATGAACTTAGTTGCTAAGGTATTTTCTTCTTCTTATGAATTATTTTGTAAGTATCACACAACAAAGAATGTGAGAAAACGAGTAAAACCCGCGGTAGGGATGAAACCAATAGAGTCCGAAGGTGGAAAATTGGTGAAAGTGGGTGTGATTGTGGAAAAAATAATGGATGCATGAAATTGTAATAAATTCTTCCATAAAATAATTATATGCCGATTTCTTTATTCATTTTCGGGAAGTGTGTGAAAAGTATCATGCTTTGTTGAAATATGTTAAAAACACAATTATTGATCAGGTGAAAGAGAAGATAGATTGTGCGTGGACTGATAATGTTAGACACCTTGAAAATAAAACTATTAACAGAGTTAATTCGGCCCATGCTACTTTAAAAAATTGGTTGGGAAATAGCAAAAGGAATTTGTGTCGAGATTGGGACTCCGTGAACCACATGATTCAGAACCAGCATAATGAGATACAAACAAAATTTGGTCGGAGCATCACGGTTTTGGAACACTGATTTAAAGACGAGATTTTATATTCTTAGTTGGTCAATAACATTTCTTGAGCGGGTTTGAACTATATATTTCACGAGGCTAAACGAGCTAATAATGTAGGCTCCGATACCGCAAAGTGTGGTTGCATTATTGTGAAAACACATGGTCTCCTGTGTACTTGTACTCTTGGTAAAAAGGTGAAACTTGGTGAACCAATAAGAATGGAAAATGTTTGCTCTCATTGGAAGAGACTTAAGTTCGATGATGATAGATGCATGGATGATGAGAAATCATATATCTCTATTTTGACTAAATGAGAAGTGATACAAGAGATATTTTTGAAGGCTGGTGATATCATGAAAAAGGTTTACTACTCGACACCGGTACGAGGCGCGTCGCAACTACAATATAACGCTTGAGAAAATTGAGGTTAATCAAGTGACAATGAGGTCAGACATTGACTCACTTTGAGACAAGATATACCAAGTTGCTCGAAACTATGTTGACATTGGCTCAGAAAGAAAAAGACATTGAGGTTGCTGCTGAAGCCAAAAGGATTACTAGTTATGTTGGAATTTCAGGGGTGGTTAACCTCGGTGGAAGTTTTGCTCATGCTAAAAGAAGACCATATCCTTATCCATGTATATGTGGTTAATGTGGATCCCCTAGAACATTCGGTTGCATCTGCTTGACATGGATCCCTGACTGATGACAAAGATCAATATGATACTTACTTCATGCCACAACCCATAAGGCCAACTGTTGGAGTTCTCCCATACCCAGCTGTTGAGAGACTCCATGCTTTGGAGGAAAAATTTAAGTCTCTGGAGGTTCACGCTATTCTCGGCTTGGATGCTATTGTTATGTTCTTGGTGCAAGGTCTAGTGATTCTCGGGAAATTCAAAGTTCAAGATTTTGACAAGTACAAAGGGATCGACTGTCCTAAAACTCACCTCAGAGCCTACTATCGCAAGATGGAAGCTCACATAAACAATGATCAACTCTTGATCCACTATTTCCAAGATAGCCTTAATGGGGCATCCCTAAAGTGGTACATACAGTTGGAGAAAGGGCAAGTCCGGTCATGAAGAGACCTTGTTGAAGCCTTTCTCAAGCATTATCAATATAATACTGATCTGGCACCCAACCACACTCAGCTGCAAGATATGACTCAGCATAACGAGTCACTTAAAGAATACACCCAACGATGGAGGGAGCTAGACGCTCGTGTTCAACATCCTCTCCATGACAAGGAGCTGATTGATATGTTCATGGGGACTCTTCATGCTCATTATATGGAAAAGATGGTGGGGTCCAACTTTCCAACTTTCTCTGAGGTTGTTTCCATTGGAGAAAGAATTGAGAGTCAAGTGAAGAAAGGGAAGACATCCTTTGATGCTGGCACTTCAAATGTAGGGAAGAAACCTTACTCAAACTTCCACAAGAAGTCAGAAGGTGAAATTAATGTTGTAATGGGAGGACGTAGAGGCACTTAAAAAGTTCCCTATTATTAAGTTGTTGCCATTGTATATATTCCATATTAGAAACCAACTTATTAACAGTGACATCTGTATTAATAACAAGGGTATCAACACCAACACCAAAATCAACAGTAACACGCTCCAGAGCAATGTCAACCTAACCAACAAAGGGTGAGGAGGCCAGTAAGGCATTTTGATCCTCTGCCTGTATCATATAGCAAGATCTTTCCTTATCTGCTAAAGGGTGGATCAATTACCATGAAATATTTAGCACCTGTAATTCCCCCTTTTCCACTAGGCTATGATGCCAATGTTCACTACGGGTATCATATGGGTGCCCTAGGGTGCACAATATAGAATTGCAAAACCTTCAAACACAAAGTTCAAGACTTTATTGACTGTAAGGAAGTCTCATTCACGCCAGTTAACCCAAATGTTGCAATAAACCCCATGTCGGCGCATGCAAGGTCGTCATTGAATTCCATTTAAGGGGTTGCCAAAGACAAGCATGATGAGATCTTCATACTAGTACGAAAAAGCATAATGGTCTCCAACTCTGAAAATGCTAGTTTAGTAGCAAATTAAGATGGGAAAGTTCACTTCCTTAATGAAGGCAATCATTAAGCCATATTACCATTTCACATTCTTGTATTTTTTTCTTGTTTGTCTAATTACTATTTGCTTTAAGCATTGTTATTTGTATTTGGTCTTATTAATGAAATGAGTATGCATGTTTTGAATAAATCTTTTCGTATTCACTCACTTTTTCTCGTTAATTGCAAAAATCACAAAAAATATTTCTCCACTTCACTTTTATTAAACTGTTGTTTTAGCAAATATTAGAGGGAGAATGACGAAAATAAAATTCCCATAATTGCTAACGGTATGGTTTCAGATAAAATCCTACTGATGATGTACAAGCATTGTTACAAATCCCCAAACACTAGAGAGATAAGGAGTTAATCTCTAGTTAATCACTTTGAGTCTAGAAGTAGGAGTTTCATTCGGATTTAAAAATCCTTACGCTTAACCTGGGAAAGGATAGTGTTTAGTTAACATGACTACACATTCAAATTGCAAGATGAAATATCCCATTTGGGGATCAACCACATGATATTCTTCACCTACATACTAAAGTGTCAAAGGAGTCATAAAAAATTCAAAAGTTATGTCGATTGTTTTTCAATGACCAATGACTTGACAGTCACAACCCTTCAGCAAAATAAAAAAAAAGAGTTAGAAAGCCCGCTAAGTCGAACACCCAAAAGAGACGACTTAGGAAAAAATTAGGGAGATTCCGGGGACTAAATGTTTCAAAGAGCAGTCAAGGCAAAAGTTAGGAATCAAAAAACAAGAAAGAAACCAATCAAAAGAGGTCGTGTAAATGTTCAGCTAGACAAAACAAGATTAGGTGACCACCTTATCAAAAATCAAAGGGTCACCGACATCCATGACAAAAACGTAATAAGAAGACTTCCATTTCAAGGAAATCTTGAATCTTCATCTTCATTCTTACACTGTGTTGAATTAACTGAATATAGGACTGAAGATCATCACGAAGAAGGGGTGGGTAAAAATTACATTTGAGTCTTATATCCTTTGTTTCAAAAATCGTGAACCAAGTCGCGTTACAACCCTTAAAAGACCTAATTGAGACAATATGTATTCTGAAAGCATATTATAACAAGGTTGCATAAACCGTCTCCTAGAGATTTGCTTATCTTTAGTATTGATGTCATATTTTTGTTGCACACACTAGTTAAATCAGCATTACATTTGGACCAATGACTCATTCGTCACACACTACCACATCATCTCAATAAATGATTTTTTCAAAAACTTGGATGAACATCGCATTAAAATTACCATTTTTGAATGAACAATTTTAAATGCAAGTCAGTACTTGACATCAAGGAAATTCCAACAAGGGACAATCAGATAGACCTTGCCAGAACTACGTAGCCTTGAATCTCTATTGCACCTGGAGATACGTAGGAGAGAGACTCGTAATCTCGTCAGGCCCCCCTTTTAATAAAACTTTTTGTGGTTTCTCTTCTTTTCTTTTACACTTACAATTATTCGAAGAAAACAATTAACATAAGTTAACATTCAATCGCAAGTTTAACTAGGAGGTTCTCGCTGAGTACACCGGACATGAGGAGTGCTAATACATTCCTCTTGCGTAATCGACTCCCGAACTCAAATTTGGTTGCGACGACCAGTTTCCTTTTTAAAGATTTTATTGATATTTTCCTTTTCTTTCATTGGAATAAATAAGGTTAGGTGACGACTCCGTTTGGACTATTTTTCCGCGACCGTCGTGAATGATCGTATTTTTCGAGGTACAATAGTTATATTTGTAAAAGGTCTCGTCTAGAGCGATTTCCATATACCACCTTTGAGGAAATGATGACAAAATGTCACCCAATGGGAGAAATCGCCTTGCCCCATGGTCTCCATCGCCCTTATGTGAGAAACGTGGGATAAGAATCTTCTTGGATAGAGAGAAAGTCAAAGTCATTAACTGACCCACGACTCCCTTGAGAATATGGATTCAACTGTCCATCATTAATTGAGTGGGCGATGAGCCTTTCCAAGAAAATCCTAGGCCTTAAAGACCTCTATAAAAACATCTTCACTCAAAGGGAGAAAAACAAACCCTAAGTGATACACATCCTTTACATCCTATAGAGCACAACACACATTTCAGTCTTAACACACCTTTGCCTATAATCATACGTTTGCTACCAAACATCATCGATCATCAGCAGAGCCTCTCATCTCAGCTGAGCATGTCTCTTAAACTACCTCAAAACACCACTGTACATAGCTTCTCGCTGTCTGAACAAATACTAACCAATATATCGTGTTATAAATATACTAAAACCTATAAATCTCCTTACCCTTACTGAAGAATCATACACACATATATTTTTTGACCAACACA